ATCAATGAACCACCAGAAAACTATAAGTGTGCTCAAAGTGGTAGAGCTCCTGCCTTGAGCAAAAGAGCTCAGGGGCAGCACCCAGGCCCTGAGTTAAAGCCCAACTGACAAAAAAAAAAAAAAACCAAGAACACTACCCTATCTTCAAGTTATAGCTGTTATATAATGATACCTGTAAAGACTTGTTCTACTGAATCTGGAAATTATACAAAGAGAACCCACGAGTTATTGACTAATGGACTTCCATCACTACGCCAAAAAGTATGGAGTATGACAGGTGAAAATAAATATAATTTCTATTGGAAAGTCATAGTGTGATCTGAACTACTATGGTATGCCAAACATTTAACCTAAGTTCATTTATACCATAAAATAAAAAGCAAGTTTTATATAAATAAGAAAATATTTGAGGAAATGAATCCAATATGCCAACATATGTAAAACCCATGGAAGTTTGTTGATCAGATAAGTGAATTTGGCTTTAGGAAAACTATAGTCACAAGACTTTATCGGCACATTGCACCATGCTGCAAATAGCTAGGTGGAGGCGGAGGGCCAGAGTTAGTAAAAGAATCCTGGAAGATCTATGAAGCAAAGGTGATTAGGTCAGGCTCTGTTCATACAATGTACAGCCTGGTGGGGTCAGGGATAATTCAGGCCATGTGCTGCTCTTGTGGTTCTAAATCCAGGGCCATAATTGACAAAGGATACCACGGTATGTCTGTGGTAGAGCTCACCAAAGGAAGCTAACTAGAGCTCAAGGAAACAGCACGTCAAAGCTGCTCAGAGATGAAAATGCGCCCAGCGCTGGCGGCTGCAGCATGATGCTGACAGTGAGACACAGCACTGGCTTATCCCTCAGACCGAAGACAACTGGGAGTTCGGACAGAAAAAGAGCTTGCAAAGCGGCGTGGCACTTGTATAGAGGAACAGATAGCCACTGAACTCAACGCCTACCTCATCTTCCCCGAGATGCAGCATCACAACCAGGGCATTACAAGCATGACATGTGCAGAATGGCCAAGGCTAGTCTACCGTCAGTGGGAGAGGGCTGCAGAGGATCCAGGAGAGCCAGGGCTCTGCTGCAGGGAACCATCTGAGTAAAGATGACTTTCCCTTCCTTTCCTTTCTAAGGACAGTGGGACGTTACTTACGGCTCATTACTCCTTCTGTCTTCAGAGGCTGTAACTAGTTCCCTGGCCTATCCCTTGTCATTGACCTGGAAGTCCCTCCAAGAAGCAGATTGTCTTCTTCCCTTACATACTATGAAAGAGAGCAACTTTAGTATCAGAAAACATTAGAAAATCTTTTCCCTGACCAGGTGAGTTACCACAACTATCACTCATGAAAACCGCCTGGAGGGAAATGTCCATAAAACAGAATGGTCATTAGGCTGTTTTGGAAAGAATTTGTACTCTTCAATAATTAAGAGAAAATCTTGGCAGTAATCATAAAGGTTTATCCATTGTGTAAACATCATAGAATTTGTTGAGAAATAAATCTTGGGATTAAATCTGAGAAATGGTAGAGATGAAGGTCAGACCAAGGTCAGAAGACAGACTGAAGGGAGAGTGATCAAAGCCACTGGCTTGTGGTCTGTTCCAGGGAACAGTCAATGACGATTTTATTGGAACAGTATAGGTTTCTGTCATTGACCAAAATGTTAAGTTCAGTGTACAACTAAACTTCTATTTTATGGACCTATGCTGCTTTTGGTCATTTCTACCTGTAACAGAAATTAGAGGAAATACAGGATTTTGTTTCTGTGAAAGTGGAGATTCTAAACAAAGCCTCTAAAATTTCAATTTCTATTGGTAAAGAGAAACTGTTGGGTAGTAACTAAATGTCTCTGTGAATAATAAAGCTTTATTTTCAAGATTGCTAGTGTTCATCATGGAAGGTCACAGGATCCAGTAGAAAGCAAAATAATATTTGAAAACTCTAGATGAGAAATTTTATATACATGACTAGTACATATTAATTACACAGAATACCGACCTTTGTTTCGGCATATTGTACATGCATGTAGCATGTTTTGACAATTTCTACCCACCACAACCCCATCCAGCCCACTCCTACCCCTTCCCAGGATTCCCTTCCTCTTCTCCACGTCTCCTTTCCCCATACATGTCATGAAAAAAATCCACATATGAAAAACATGAAGAAAATCCACATATGAAAAAAATGAATACTTGTCTTAGTGTCTAAATTCACTTAACATAATCTGCCGTTCTATCCACTTCCCTGCAAATGACACTCTGTTTTTTACAGCTGCACTATGGAATGGGTGGATAGATAGATAGATAGATAGATAGATAGATAGATAGATAGATAGATAGATAGATAGACAGACAGACAGACAGACAGACAGAGAGATCATGTTTTCTTTACCCATTTACCAGTTGATGGACATATGGCTGATTCTATAGCTTGGCTATTATGAGTATTTCTTTAAAAAACATAGATGTGCACATTCTTTTTATGAATCTACTGAGTTTATTGAAGAGTGATATGGTTGGATCATTTAGTTTTTTTTAAATAAGTCTCTATGTTAGCTATGCCCCACCAACATTCAAGGGTCCTACATATATTTTATATACGGGTTCCTTATACTCACCAGCAATGTAGTCGCACTGCAGTGAGATGGAATCTCAGTATAGTTTAAAGCTTCATTTACTTATCAACATAAAGAATACATCTAATAAGGCCATTTATAATCATTAATCATTTACTCATTTATTGATGGTTTTCTCCAAATTTTGGTGCTAGAAACAGGGTTCTAAAGAAAATGAAACAGAATAGGATGCCCTGGGTAACTGTTGTTCTTAATGTACTATGTGATATTTTTGATTCTTTTGCATGTTCTTCCCCCTATGGTATAACCCTTGTTGTCACTGTACTTGATTCTGGTGCCCTGCATCTTGTATATACATCTTCCTAATTTGGGGAGGGGAAGGGAAATAACAAAATGCTGAAACAAGGATACAGGTTGACCCACTGTAACAATGAGACAAACAAGACACTATGTTGAAAACTTGTGTGTGTGTGGGGGGGGGCGTTAGGGAGGTGAGGAGGGAAGGGATGGCAGGGGAAAAACAAAGGAGGGGGCAACAATGCTCAATACCCTACTCACGTAACTGTAGCCCCTCTGTACAGTATCTCTGCAATATAAAATTTTAAATTAAAAATATAAAAAAATTATGATCTCTAGAGGTATCAGTAAGTACTTAAAAAGAAAAGTTAGAAAAAGTACAAGGAAAAAGGAAGCAAAATAGTTGAGAGAAAAAGAATATGGGATGGAATACTGGAAAAATTAGGATGGGCATGAATACATGTAAAGTGAATACAATAAAAGTAATTTGAAGAAACAAAAATAACACTACAAGTACCACAATCCAACCATGGCTGCCACTATAAAATAAAAATACACAGCATTCAGTATTCCTTCCTTGCTGAGAAAGTGGGTATACCCGGATGCCTTGGTTTTTCAGTTTCCTTTATGGGAAGGTAGCTTTGGCCTGTGTTTTGTTTTCCCTGATCTTGTAAGGAGTTAGGAGTGGAGGAGTTTAAGAGATTGGGCCTTGCCTTGCCTGCCAGGTTAGTTAGGCATGTCTGCCACGTGCAGGCCTGCTAATGCAGGGGGTGTAAAGGTTGCCTCGGTTGGATCCAGGTCCCGCAGGCTGGACTTGAGAATGTATCAAGTCAAGACACTGTAGCTCGCGTGGGCTGCCAAGGACGTGGAATTCTAGCTGGCCCTGACGGCAGACAGTGTGCATCTTCCATCCTACCCGTGTTTAGTTTGCACTCCAAGGCTAGCTCTACTGCCACTAGCCGTCGTCACACTCACTGAGGCTGTGGTTGTGGGGATTAAGTCGTCAGCCTTTAGCTGAGCTCCAGCTGGCGATTAAGCTCCTTTCCCAAGGACATTGCTGAATCTGAGGCCACACTGGATCCATGTCTTCCCTTCCTTCACGTAAGGTATAAAATAGGGAAGTTCTCCGAGTTTAGATACATTCCAGAGAAAGAGACTCGGCCTTTTCTCTTGCGTCTAGGTCCTACATGTAGGTAGACCGTGGATTTCATTTTTGTAGAGTGGCTGCTGAGACCTGCTTATGGACTGTCCAGGACTTGCATTTTGGACCAGTCTCTTGCTTGTAGACCCTCTGATGGAAATTCTCCCTTTTTAACTGTTTTGTGCAGTGATCTATTTTAGAGTCCATTGTTTTTTTGTAAGTCCAAGCTCAGTATTCTAAATTTCATCTGGGTTATTTCCTGTTTACTATTGCCTTCACTTGCTTTCCCTTACCACTGTCTTACCACAGCTGATTTTGTTCCTGGTTTGTGGAGGAGTTACAGAAAAGTACTAGCCGTACCTAAGTTGTCATCATACATCCCTCATTAGTGTTTTGGTTAGTATTAACATACCGATTCTGCCAAACCGGGAGCATGAAAGATCTTTCCATCTTCTGGTGTCTTCTTCACTTTATTTCTTCAGTGGTCTGTAATTTTCATTACAGAGATGTTTCATCTTGTGTTTTTGTTTCTTTAACTCTAATGAATAGTATTGTTTTCCTGATTTTCTTCTCAGGTGAATGGAGAAGCTATTGATTTTTGTATCCTGACTATATCCTGTCACTTAGCTGAATGTATCAGATCTAAAAATCTGATGAAAATAAGTCCCCACAGTGACAGTGATCTGTGTTCAACAATGTGCTTACAGTGTCTAAAATGTTTCCTAAAATGCTTAAAAGAAGGTATACTCTTCTGCTGTTGGGTAGAAGAGTCTGTAGATACCTGTTGTCTATTGTTCTACAGTACAGTTTAACTCTAGGGTTTTTTTATTTTTATTTTTTTTGGTCTGGATGATCTATGTATTGAAGAGTAGGGTACTGAAGTCATCCACTATTACTGTATTGGGGTGTTTTTTAGACTAGGAATATTTGATGCTTACAGTATAGAGAAAACGACCTTTATTGGTAAATTAATGCAGAGTCCATTGCTTAACTTCAAGACTTTATTTCTATACACAGTAAAAATCCATCTAAGACAGGAAAAGTAGCTGTTTTCATAATTTGTGAATCTTAAGGATGTCTTAACAGATACAAATCTATTCCACTGAAATAATAGGTCACTATGCTCTAGTATCAAGATTCGGAGTAGAAGAATTAATATATATTACATAGCTTTAAAATATCTCTTTTCAAGCTGGTTGATGTTCATGGGTAAGAGAGTAAGAGACATTTGGTATGATGCTTACACACAGCAATCAACAGCCCCTACAGTACCATCCTAGATACTGGATTAGACAGTTATGAGAACCATCTCAACACTGTAGATGAAATCATCTACAATCTTTCCATTTTCTTGTTAATCATGTACAATTTGCTACATAGATAGTATATTTTCAGTGACCTGTATGAAAATGTTTGTGGCTGAAATATGTTCATGGTGCCTGAAGAGATATTATACTTGTTTATCTTAAAAAGTGAAGAGAAATTTATAGTTTACAGGATTTGTTATCTATTAATTTCCTGCACATCAGGTTTCTCTGTTAGCCATAGGTCTGATTCTGGTTGCTTCCATTCATCTCCAAGCAGTGTGTTAAAACTGAAAGGCTTGAAATATTCTAGACGATGGCTGAAAACAAAGGAAAAGAAGGCGGGGAGTGGAACCAGTCATGTGTTTTTGAAGGAGTGGTCCTGAAGTGGTACTTACTTTGTCACAGCTGTGATAGAACTATGTTTTATTTTAAGAAATACCAAAGACAAGATGTATTCCCCATGTATAATTTTTCTCACTCTGGCTATGAAACATTCAGCTATGAAAATACTCACTTCTCAAAGCATTTGCCTTTCAATTTTATGAATAGTTCCTCACAAGTGGAAAGGAAAACCAAAAATCAACTCTCAAAACCTAACTCATTCCATCTAGCCTTACTCAATCACGTACCACACTCAGCATGGTGGAGGCCGAGATTTGCAGCTAACAAGGGCTACACAGCAAGTTCCAGGTCAGCCTGAGCTATGGCAAAACCTTGTCTCAGTAATTAAATTAAACCAATTATACTAAAGTCTTGCATAGCATATGTTCTTGTATTCAAACTTGGATACAATTGTTATCAGCTATATAAACAAATGTTTTTAGAAGCTTCCGTATTAGAGGACTGACTTATTTTCTTTCTTTTCCAATGCAAGGGAGGTTAATATGCAAGTGTTAATCCTAGTTTTTCTCTTTCTGGGGTGTGTGTGTGTGTGAAGGTATACATTCTATTTGAGCAAAGAAAATGATTTATTGGCCCTTTGCTTATACCAGGAAGAAAACACTATTTCTCTGACCATTTATTGTTGAAAAGGATCAGAAATTTGAAGCCACACTTCCCTATCAGTTGACATAAAACTAATACAAGATTTTCCTCACACTGATATGAAAGACTAAGCACTCTGCTCCTGATCGTAGTGAGAGAGACTGCCAGTCCACAGCTGATGTATGAAGAATTCAGAGGACTACCAAGCACCAGAGGGCCCTACCGGCGGCTTGTACACAACATCCGTAACTGAAAAGTATCACTACTGTTGTACTGGGAATACACAGCTCAAAGACTCTATGGTTGGACACAGTGTACTCACAAGTCAGGCACCTGTCCTTCTTGCAACTCATGCTGAGGCACAGGGTAAAGGGCTTCATAGTGTCTTTTATCGTTTGATCCGTGAATTGCAAATGAATTGAATTTTGTCACATTTGGTGGAAAATATGTCCAAGGAAGATAAGCATTGCCTTTCCATTTTGTGTCTTCTTTAGACACTCTGAATGATAAAGCCAGTTCTTGCTACAACAATAGTATGTGAAACACAAAGGTAAATTCAGACCTAGGCTTGAAACAATATGCTACTTATACACTTAAGGAATTTAAAAAAATATTTTTACTTACCTTCCACACATTTCTTCTTCCAGAGAGAAAAAGCACCAAATGCTGTCCGTGTCTGTCAAAATTAAGGTTCCTCGTGAGAGTCTGAGAGAGACCATTTTATTTTCCTTGCTATCTCCAAGTCTGGAATTTATGTTTTACAGCTAACTTTCCAAATGACTAAATGAGGCAATACAAACACTGGATAATTACAGGAAGAGACAGTGTGTTCATTTACTTGCAAATGACATCCTCAGATTTACCAAAGACAACTGCTGTGTCAAACCACAAAGTTTCATGTGCTAAGACTGCTTTTCACAGTCATTAAATAGAAACATAAAACACTTCATTTGTAAGATGGCACAAAATATGAAAAAAACAATGGAAAGATTTGGAGTTTATAAATAAAACACAAATTCAAAAAATAAAGTCCTCTAAGAGAAGCTGCTTTACTGAAGGCTACTTCAGGAAGAAAACTACCTTGAGACTCATTAGGAAGGTAGAAAGTACACAATATAGATTAAGCAGTTTACAAGGTAAAGATTTTAATCTTAGTTTATCTTCTCACACAACTGAACATGACCTGTTTGCTGCTTACATTTTTTAGCTTTCTATAGTTTAGCTTTGTTTAGTTTCTGATGTCACATGTTTTAAAAGAAACAGAACATATTCTCAAAAGCAAACTCTAATTAGAGTGCATAATTTGGTGGCTAACACTTGTAATCCTAGCTACTCAGGAAGCTGGGATATGAGAATCATGGTTCAAAGCCAGCCCAGGCAGGAAAGTCCATGTGACTATTAATCTTCAATTAACTACCAGAAAACTGGAACTGAAGCTGTCTCAAAGTGGTAGAGCATTAGCCTTGACAAAAATGTTCAGGGACAGCGCGCAGGCCCTGAGTTCAAGCCCTATAACCAACAAAAAAAGTTAGGATTTTAAAATGAAGCCTTAGAAATAAAGGAGTACAGCTTCTTCTATTTAAAACAATATTCTTCTTTATGCTGCCCTACCTGTAGTTAATTACCTTTGCCGGAATAGATGGTCAGAAGCAAAAACTGTGACTCTTGATTCCTAGTTATCTTGATATATATAAACTACTCTGAGGATTGCAAATTTTAAAATTCATTAATTTATACAATGGCTACTGTATAGTTTCTTACCAAAAGATCTAGTTATTATATTTATCAAGTGCTAGATCATCACTTTATGAAAAAAACTAGTATTATCATCTAATAAAATAACTAAGGTTCAAATCTGAGAGCTTGGTAAACTATTGTTATTTAAATGAACTATAAATGTTGTCTTAGCTATCTCATCGACAATGTGAACATAATCACATAATAGCTGAACTGCCCTTACTTTTTAGGGCAGTTTATGAGAATCAATCATAGTTTTAAATGAAAGATTTTGACATGTTAAAAGATGACATGTAAAGTACATAAGTAGTCTTTTTAAAACAGTAATCGCAAACTAAGATTTTCCACATTAAACTTGGAAACAAAGCTAAAGAAAATAAAACGGCAACTAAAACTTCATTTACATCAGTGATGTGAGGCTCGCTGGCCAGGCCTAAGGAACGATGGCTCTTAAATATTGATACTCCTGGGAATCTAGGTGGCATTTAAAGTGAATAATGACAATATATAGAAAAATTTCATTTATTAAGTAAACAGTCTGGGGTTAACATTTTAATTAGTCAAGGAATATCCATTTATGATTTTTTATTCACCTTGAATGTAAAAATGACAGAGCATATGCCCCCAAACCAAATGATAAATGAATAAATGTTTGCATAGGCAATTATGAAATGGATGAAAGTAAGGCCTAATCTAGGCAGTTAAAAATCCCCTAAAAGAAACATTTTCATAAGCTAGCTACATCGGTTATACTTGTGTCTTATTTCTGGACAAATAATAAAGACTAAGTAATGGAGGAAACAGTTATAATCACTTTTCATTTGGGGAAAAATATCTTCATGCTTATTACAAAACTATATTACTAAGCTGAAAATACCATCAAAATAATATCCTTAAACATTTGGAATATGCATTCTTCACATATTCTGAATATGTCCTAAATTTGATGAAAGCAGATAATTCAAATTAGTTCAGGTTAGCATTCTCTCTATGTAGCTGGAAGTAAGCTCTTCTCTAATAATATGATTTTATACTTACGGACAAAGTTCAACTTCTAAATACTGCTCAGTTACATCATTCAAGAAAAATGCTTCTACAACTTTTGAAAAAAAGAGATACAAAATAAGAAATTTAATTTACTTTCAGTAAGTAAAATTTATTAAGGAATACAGAGTATTTCTTTAGAATATAAATTAATGAATTTTTTAAGTTATCATATTGTGCCCAGTAAAAAATAAAGCAAAACAAGGAGTTAAACTTGAAAGAAATACCTAGGAAATGAGTCATCATCAATGTTCCCCAAATTAGATTGCCATAATTAAGAAGATTTACAAAGTCTAGTGCTGGTGAGGTCAGGAATAAACATTAACACGTAAAGTCTGAGCCAGTTATTTTATTCTAGGAATTTATCCTAAGGAAATAAATTAGAGCTGGGTGTCGGTGGCTCACGTCTGTCATCCTAGTTACTCAGGAGGCTGAGATCTGAGAATCACAGTTCAAAGCCAGCCCGGGCGGGAAGTCTGTCAGACTCTATCTCCAATAAACCACTAGAAAACCAGAAGTGGTGCTGTGGCTCAAGCAAGTTGAGTGTTCGCTTTGAGCTGAAGAGCACAGGGACAACGCCCAGGCCCAGAGTTCAAGCCCCATGACCAACAACAACAACAACAACAACAACAAAAGAAATAAACCAGACAGCTAGGAAAAGAAATTAAAACTTAGAAATGACTATCTCTTCTTACATATAATATTATAAATAAAACTATTACCAGGACAGACGATAATTAAATTACAGAGTTTATATATTCCATATAATAAAATACAATACACATGAAAATCAAAGATTCTGTTAAATATTTATTGGCATGGGTGATGCCCGTATTTTAAGTATGTTGCAGAGCAGCAGCCTACTGTGCATGAAACTGAAAATTACATGTGTGCTTGTGCCTGTATGTGTGAAAAATGGGCCCAGAACGTTAAGACTGAGCCAGCTACCAGTGGCTCAAGCTACTTGAGAGACTTGGAGAATGGGAGGGTGGCAGTTTCAGTTCAGTCTAGGCAGAAACAGCCAACAGAATCCAGGGAAGCTGTAGATGGTGGCACACACTGGTTATGCCAGAAATGACCGACACATAAAATAGGTGGATTACAGACTAGGTGCATGTTAGGACAGGAATAAGACCCTAACTTAAAAATAATAAGGCTGGGCATTGGTGGCTCATCCCTGTGATCTTAGCTACTCAAGTGTCTATAATCGGAGCATCTGGTTCTAATTCAGGCCTCGTAGAACAGTCCCTAAGACTCTATACTCCAAAAAAATACCACCACCAACAACAACAGAAATCAAATTCGAAGTATAGCTCAAGTGATAGAATGCCAGCTGTGAGCAAAAAAGCTAAGGAAGAGTATTACAGAAAGATGAATCTGACAGCTCGATAAAAGTACAGTACAAGGGGACTCAGAACAAATCTGAAACCAGGGAATTGTGTAGATGTCTTCCAGTCTTGTTTTGATATGAAGGATTACTTCCTGGCATAAAGTAAAAGCTAAATTTCATATTGGGCTAATAGTATTTATTCCTACAATAAGTAAACAGTTCAAAATGTCTCTAAACAAGGTTTATAATGTGAAAGTGGTAATTTGAGGATATTTAGTGACAAAGCGGGTACATGTACTGATTTCTTCTTGTACCAGGTTACACATGTAAAGAAAGGGGATACAGAAGCAACATACACATATTTTCACTCCTCCAGTTACACACAGAGTTCACATAGGTAATGGAGGTAAAGTTGTGGTAAGAACTTGGTGGAAATATCGGAAACTGCACATACCAGTTGCTCAGAAGCACTCACTCCCTAGCGGCTAGACAAAACAGCAACTGCATATGGGAGGTAATTATAAAGAGATTTACGCTTGTAATAACCGCAGAACTTCTGCTTGCCTTCATAGTTCCAGAGCTCACTGAAAGGCTCTCCTGGCTCTCCAAGGGGTGCAGGCGGGTCATTGAAAAGTGGAGCACTGACTGCCATCATCACACCTCCCTCAGCTGGACGCAGCCCAACAGAAACCGGCTCATGCTGCACTGGAAAGCCGTGCCAAGTGTGTTCAATTTCAAAATCCATCTGATGACTTCCTAGAGGAAGAAGCAAATGAAAACAAACTCCTTAGCAATATACAAGGTTCTTTTAGGTACAAAATAAATAAATTTCAAATGTCAAATAGAAGACAGGAGAGGAACAGGATGACAAAAGCATCCTAGCCATCTGTGTGGTGGCAAATCACAGACTCAAATTCTAACGCTGGAAGACTTCACATAGATCAAGCTCTGGAGTCCTTCTAGGGAGCACTAAAATCACCTTGAATCTACTACAGAAATGTCAATGCACTTAACTAAAACTTTAAGCCCATGAGTATATATTTTACACTTTGTCTTTTCATTGACCAGTTCGAAGGTATCTGAGTTACTAGATCCTTTCAGAATCAAGATATTAATATCAAAATCTTAGTGAAACTTTATTATTTGACCATATTAAAAAAAATATAAAGCATCAGCTTCCCTCCCCACACCAAAAAGAGCCTCCTCGCAGATCAATGACAGTATGGAGCAACTGTGTACCTCATATTTCAAAACTGATTTTTTTAATGCCTTGTGGGATCCAGAAATTACTAAGGAAAAGGTGAACATTCCCAACAGAAACCTGTTTCCAAGAGAGAGACATGCAAAGAAAACAAGTTTTCACTTAGTTGGTAAGACACAGGAAGTCTGGTAACACAGTGTGTAAGGAGGCCATCAGGAGCGGCACAGACAGCTGCTGGGTATACCGTTACATCTGACAGTGCACAGACAGCTGCTGGGTATACTGTTACATCTGACAGTGCAGCACGCCACTATCCATCAAAATAAAAATGTAAACGTCCATTTTACTCAATAATTCTAGTGTTAGTGGTTATATCTGGATATAATCAAAACGACACAGCAGAAGAACATTAGTGGTTACATTATTTAGAATAAAAAAATTCAAATTAAGCGTAAATACCCTTCAGAGGATGACTATAAGGAAAATTTGCTGTATTATACAGTGAAATACTGCATAGTGATTAAAATGAATAAAGGAGTTCTGTAAGCACATGTAAATTAGACTGTGACATGAAAAACATAAGGTGCAGAAAACATCACCGAATAAACAGGAAGCTAATTTGTGTGCATACTTGTGATGGATACTTATACATGTGCAAGGAAGCACATGTAGCCAGCCACCTGCAAGATACCAACGGCACACACTGCCTGCTATTCGAGAAGATGTAGCTGTCTCAGACGTGGAAGAAGAGAGCCTTATTTTACCACTTTTCTCCAACTATTTGACTTTTCAAGCATGATATGCCTTACTAGTTAAGGATAAATGAACTTTTAAGGATAAATCTCTTAAATAGTATAATGATTGAACATTTCCAAAATTTTAGAATAAATATTATCAAGGGATCATCTTAATGGACAGTTTTATACTGAGTATTTGGTCTTTCTTAAAATAATGTTACTGAAAGCCAGGTGCCAGTGGCTTATGCCTGGAATCCTAGCTACTCAGTAGGCTGAGATCTGAAGATTGCCAGCCCAGGCAGGGTCCATGAGACTCATATCTTCAATTAGTCAAGGAAAAAGCCAGAAGTAGAGCTGTGGCTCAAGTGGTAGAGCTCTAGCATTGAGCACAAGGAGCCCAGAGTTCAAGCCCCAGGACTGGCAAAAATCAATTAAAAAGTAGTAATAATGTTACTGGCTTATCTTTATTTTTTTCCACTTTTTACCTTCTCAAAATTAATACTCATCAAAAAAAAATAAAACAGATAATTTTTCGATCACTGCCTTTACCTAATTTACTATGGCAAAGGACATGAAGTTGGGGGAGGGGAAGGAGACTGAGCTCTAGAGCTGAAGAACAGCATATTAAAAACAGATTCTATGAAGCTTACAAGAAAAAACTGCTAAAAAGGTGGTGTGTGTGTGTGTGTGTGTGTGTGTTTCATCAAAGTTGCAAGGAAACATTTGAAATAGTTCTGTGGACAGACCATTCATTCGTTTTTCTACAATCATTGTTTCTTTACAGTGTGCATTCTTCCATGCCCCATCCACTTACTGGAGAAAGGAAAAAATGAGGAAGTTTAAGGAAAGTGCCTCTGGTGCCAGAAGGAACATGCCAGGGACCCCCTGGGAGGAAGGGAGCCCGACCTGCGGGGAGCAAGCTCAGTCCAGCACTTGCAGCAGTGTCACCCAGAAGGATAAGTACTTGCAGTCTTCACCCAGCAGGGATCACGTTAGGCCAGGCCGTGCCCCACTGACCACACTCGCTGGGAGGGGCTTGAAGGACTGACGCAGACACTTGCTTTTCTAGGAAAAATGGTGAAGGAACACAAATAAACAGCTGACATCTTGCTTAACTATTCTACTGTTTGAGTAGGTTTTTAGAACAAAGAAAACTCTGCAATATAAATACTGTGCAAAGACTTGAAAATTGACTGTATGGTTAATAGAACATGGACAGTGCTAATTCATTTATTGAATCTATAGACATAAGCAAAAAACCCATAAAGTACATTACACTAATCATAAATTATACTACTGAGAAGTATATAAATACTGCTTAATGACTATGATATTAAAGACCTATTTTCTGGGCTCAAATCCTAACTTTTCTGTATGACTTTGAACCTTGACTACTTAAACTTACAGTTTAATTTCTACATCAGATATTCATTAACTTTTTATAGTCTACCAGGGATTAAAGTGGGGCCTGGAGATAAATTAACAATAACAAAACCTACAGAATAAAGACTGCCAGAAGAGCTATTAAGTATTAAGTAGCACCCATCTTGAGGACAGGGGATGGTACTAAAAGGAGAAACACTACTGGGGACACTACAAGGGTAAGCGTCACGATTTCATTTACTAATGATGAAACTTATTTAAAAAATATTCCATTAAAATCGAACCAGCAGAGCTAGGGACTTAGCTGAAGTGTAAACACCTGTGCAAGGGCCTGGGTTTATCCCCAGTACAGGAGGAAAAAACAGTCTTGTAACCACATAAACACAAAACAACAGAAAAACTACTGTTTGTAATCGTTTTAAACTAGATCGTGCGATCCAAATAATTCAAGTCCACGCATAAAACTCTCATTTTGCTATTCAGTTAATACAAGGGCCACTCACTGATAACTAGGACCGTTGGCTTTCATTCAAGCCAATAGATCTTATAACCGTGCAGTTAACCTTATAACCCGCTTGTTCTCCGCCAACCTAAATGACAAGGTCCCAGGCTCGAGCGCAGGTCTAGGAAAGCCCGTCCAGCCCCAGGCCCAGGCCCAGGCCCAGGCCCAGGCCCAGGCCCAGCCTCAGCCCCAGCCCA